CAACGAGGCAGTCAGTCTCTTGCGCGATCTTATGGCGGAATGGCAGCAACGACTGTGGCAACCAAAACCTGGGCTCGCTGCTATTGCAGCGGTAAGTCCCCTCTTTGAAGAGTGGCTTGAAAGACGCTACGGCGTCCTCACCTACCACCTGACGCCGGTCCTCACCGGACATGAGAGCTTCCGGTAGTATCTGTGTCTGATAAGGTGGGCGCAAACGTCCGGGTGTCACCACTGCGAGGACCGCCCTGAGGACATGGCGGAACACATTGTAGGGGCATGCCCTGGGTGGGCTGAGCACCGCCGTGCCCTCAGGGATGTAATCGGCAACGGCGAACTCTCGCGAACGGCCCGAGTCCGGGCCATGATGCGGAGCGAACAGGACTGGGATGCAGTCTCCTTCTTTTGTGAAGCAGTCATACTAGCTAAGGAGGAAGCGGAGCGCGTGAGGCAGCGAAGCGGGCGTCGGGGATCGTGGGATGATCTTCGGCCACCGTAAGCAAGGGCCTGCGCACGGCGAGCATGGTTAGCTCGCCACCCGACCACCGTTCCGCGCGCGCCTTAAAGAGCCATCAGCCCACCACAGATGAGGCCCAATAGGGCTGATGCCGACATGGAGCCGTGGAGAACTTAACGGGTTACAGGGGCTCCGGCTTAAAGAGCAGGAGTAGGAACGGGGTGGTTTTTTAGTCAGTACCTAGGCGGGAGGAGTCATTCGATGATTTTCCCCTCTTAAAACGAAACCTTTTTGCTGGAAGGCTTCGTTTAGAGTACGTCATGGTGTGATGCTGTTGATCTACATTTTGGCGCAATATTCTAGGTTTTCTAATTTAAAATATGAAGTTATAATACGGATAAGGTATCAACATTAAATGGTTAAATGTACATTTAACTTCATTATTTCCTCCGGGCTAGAAACTATGGGATTCGTACCTCACTAACACCACCCTGATACTACTTAAATGCCATGCCAGGTGGTTACTTTTTGGCATTTAAGTATAAGGGGCACTGCGTTCTCGGAACACCTTTATCAACTCTGATGCAACGTCTGTCACATACCTGGGAGATAAGTCTCCATTCAGCCTCGTTATGCACAGGGTGTGTCGTCTCTGAAGTCACTGTCTGAACGGCTGATCTCTAAGTGGCCATGATCCTAAAGGATAACATAACATCACGCCTTTTATCCCCTAAGGGGTAGGGAGAGGTGCACATTATGGCACTTAATGCCACTGTACAATGTAACACCCACTTTTTAACCGACTTCAAAAAAAGGAGGAGGTTCTCAATTCGACCGTATATATGCTTTTTTTTATGTTTTTTCGCCGATATCTCCGTGAGTAATAT